AGGCTAAGGGGATCCATATTTACTATATTATTTTTCTGAAATTTAAATTTTTTGTTGTTTTGTTATTTTTTTTTATCTCTCCTCTACTGACCCTCATTGTTTTTAATGAGGCTAAAAGAGGATAACTGCTTAATCTTCTTTCTGTCCTCCTAAACCCGTATCATGGTTACACTGAAAAGAATAATTCAACAGTTTTTGACATTTACTTAATCTTATTTAGTTACTCTAAAACAATTGTTTTCTTTCCTACCCTGCTAACATGAAACAATTGTATTAAGTAACTAAATAAGATTAAGTAAAGTGTTTTGTTTTGGGGAAAAAAAAAAAAAAAAGAGGTTTTATTGCTTTAGTCTGCCCCCCTCCTGCTCTATATGCGCTGTGCGACTCCTAACCTTTCTCGCGCAATTAACAGATTTTATTCTGTATTTCCTACCAAAGCAGCTGCGTTTCATTTTGTAATTGCGTCTCTTTTCCTGTCAGACCCATTAAATTGCCGCCAATTTACCGCATAGTCCGACTAAAATAGACCCCGGGTCCATCTCAGTCAGAGATTGTCCACATTGACTCTTAATGAGCACTAAACGCCACCACCTCGTCCAATATGACTTTCATGTCAAAATCCGGACGATTATTCCTGAATGGAAAACTAAAAAGTTTTTTACCTGAACTTCAGCCCAAATAAGAGGAAAGTTACACAGCTGAAACTAGGCCTCTCCTCCTCACAGGTCAGATGGCTTCTCCTTCTTTTTACCTTTTGTAACCTCCTTCTTTTTAACTGACTCTTTACGCCGTCAGTAAAAAAAAAAAATAAATAAATAAATAAAAGATTACTAATATTAAAACAAAACATTTATCAACTCTTATAAACCCCTTTGTTGCAAACAGCTCTTACAGTGAACCTGTAAGACTTCTTCAGAACTTTAGATTGAGTCCAAACAAAATGATATAGCTTAGGGTTAGACATCATCTGAAGCAGAGTACTCAGCATTTCCAGATTAATTAATTGCCTTTAGACCAGGTTCAACAACCCATCATGATTTGTTTTTAGTCATTTGATGTGTTACCACATCCTCCTTCAAACTGATGAATGAGTGAATGAAGTAACCCGTGTGATTCCGATCTACAGGGAGCCAGAGCCTCAGATCCTGGACTATCAGACGCAGCAGTACAAGCTCTTCCCTCTGCTGGCCATGGCCTATGCTTTCACGTTTGTGGGCCAGTATATGACCGAGATATACCACCGTATCTCTGAAGACATCAACCGGGGCGACTTCAGCCAGCTGCCAGAGGTACTGACCAGATAACGTCTGAAGAAACTCAATAAAACTCAATAAAACTTTAAGGTTGATTTTCAATTAGATACAAATATTTCATTTAGATTATTTAATGGTGCAAAGTCACATCATATACCTATACAAAAAAAAAACACAAAAGTTTTGATCATGATAAAATAAGAGACTGTTTTAATAGTGTTTAGATGGTCCTTTTTAGCCTAAATAGAACTCCAGCATAGGGTGGGATTAG